AGAAATGGTATGAACTAAACACACTTTTGATTATCAAGATATCTTAAAATACTACTGATAATGTAAAAAGAAGAGTGTTCTTTCAATTGATTAATTCAGGATACAATTAAATAGTCTCTTGATGAGATAATTTGCATTTCTGGATTCAAATCAATGAAATAACAGTTCCTGTCCCCTGAAGGTCTTCAGAGACAGATTGATGTCGGAGGTCTAGTTCACTACAATCAGCTGTATTTCAAAAATAGTTTTGCTGCATCAGGGCTATGTGAATGTGCAGAGGAAGAGAAAAGGAAGAAGGAAAGTGGCTCACTTATCCGCAAATTAACAAGAAAAGCACCTAAACAATTATTTGTTTACTTGAAGTTATACCAAAGGTGTGTCTCAGTCTAACATTTGCTTAGCTGCATTTCGCCAGTGTGGTGCAGCTGTTCTGACGGTTCCAAGCAGTGAGCAGAATGAAAGTGGGGAGGTTATGGCAGGCTGAGTGACTCATCAATAGCTGAAGATTTTCAGTCATCCATCCATCCATTCTCTTCCACTTATCCGGGGTCGGGTAGCAGGGGAAGAAGCCTAAGTAGGGAGGCCGAGACTTTCCTCTCCCCAGCCACTTGTGCCAGCTCCTCCAGGGGAATCCCAAGGCGTTCCCAGGCCAGCCGAGAAACATAGTCCCTCCAGTGTGTCCTAGGTCTTCCTCTGGGTCTCCTCCTGGTGGGACGTACCTGGAACACCTCACCAGGGAGGCATCTTAACCAGATGCCCGAGCCACCTGAAATGGCTCCTCTTGATGTGGAGAAGCAGCGGCTCTACTCTGAGTCCCTCCCGGATGACCAAGCTTCTCACCCTATCTCTAAGGGAGAGCCCAGACACCCTGCGCAGAAAACTCTTTTCGGCCGCTTGTATCCGAGATCTCGTTCTTTTGGTCACAACCCAACACTCATGACCATAGATGAGGGTAAGAACGTAGATCGATCGGCAAATTGAGAGCTTTGCCTTTTGACTCAGCTCTCTCTTCACCAAGACAGACCGGTATAGCGCCCGCTTCACTGCTGACGCTGCACCTATCCGACTAGTAATCTCACGCTCCATTTGTACCTCATTCGTGAACAAGACCCTGAGATACTTAAACTCCTCCACTTGGGCAGGACCTCCTCCCCGACCCGGAGAGGGCACTCTATCCTTTTCCGGCTCAAGACCATGGCCTCGGATTTGGAGGAACTGATCCTCATCCCGGCCGCATCACACTCGGCTGCAAACCGCTCCAGTGAAAGCTGTAGATCATGACTTGATGAAGCCAATAGGACCACATCATCTGCAAAAAACAGAGAAGTGATCCTAAGGCCACCAAAACAGATCCCCTCAACACCTTGCCTGCACCTAGAAATTCTGTCCATAAAAGTTATGAACAGAATTGGTGACAAAGGGAAACCTTGGCTGAGTCCAACTCTCACTGGGAACAAGCCTGACTTACTGTCGGCAATGCGGACCAAGCTCCGACACTGGTCATACAGGGACCTAACAGCCCGTATCAAAGGGCCTGGTACCCCATACTCCCGGAGTACCCCCACAGGGTTGTCCGAGGGACGCGGTCGAACGCCTTCTCCAAGTCCACAAAGCACATGTAGACTGGTTGGTCAAACTCCCACGCACACTCCAGGACCCTGCTGAGGGTGAAGAGCTGGTCCAGTGTTCTACGACCAGGAGAAAAACTGCACTGCTCTTCCTAAATCCGAGGTTCAACTATCTGACAGACCCTCTTCTCCAGAATCCCCGAATAGACCTTACCAGGGAGGCTTAAAAGCGTGATCCTTGGGACTACACAGTCACTGAGAGTAAACTTCATCTCAGCAGGTAGTTATCAGAAAATGCTGTAACCAAATTTAAACAATCTCTTCCATCAA